TTTGCCATTTAAAAATTATTCACTTTTTTCCTAGGTAGTTCATTCACTTGGTTCAAAAATACAAAAACATATACAAGGAAAAATCTATTTCTTATTTCTGTTTTCTATCATTCTACACCCCCCACCAAAACCATCACCAGCAACAGACAGGAAATCTTGTTACTGGTTTCTCATATATCATTCTAGATGACTTCTTATGTATCTAGAAGTAAATGCAAATATGTATTCTTTATCGTTTCCCCTTGTGGACAAATGACAGCTTGCTATACACATTGATTTATACTTTGAGTTTTCATTTTGATACATAAAATGGATCTTTCTTCTTTAAAAGAAAATAACTGCATAGTATTCCATTATATGAATGTCATATAAGTTAATGAGCCCTATTACTAGGCATTTAGACTCTTTCCAATTTTTTGCCTTTACAAATAGGGCTGCAACGCACAACCCAGTACCCGTCACTTCACACATCGTGCAACTATATCTATAGGATAAATTCCAGTAAGTGGAATTGCTGAATCAAATGTTACACGCATTTTCTAACATCTTGGCAAACTGCACTCAGAAGTTGTACCAAATTGAGCTTTCATCACCAACATATGAGGTATGGATCCGTTCTGCACCCTCGCCCTGTCCCCCAACAAAGGTGGTATCACCAAATGTTTGGATTTTTGCTAATCTGATAGAGATTTCAGTGTCGTGTTAATTTGCATTTTTTTTTTTGCTTACGAAAAGTTGAGCCTCTTTTCAAATGTTTATGAACCACTTGGGATTTTTTCCCCCCATGAACTGCGTGTATAAAGATATTATTTTAATTAAAAATGCTCATCTATGTATTCATTCATTTGTAACGTAAACACCTCCTGCATATCAACTCTCTGTTGGACACTTACAGGAGCTACTGCAGGTAAAGGAATGAACATTGGAGACTGTCCCTGCTCTCCCAGAAAGTGCAAGCTGGTGGAGGAGAAGGATTTTGAGCTAAATGTTGAACTACTTATGGAATACTAACGTACATGTATGTATTTGCACCTCTGTGTATGTAACTGATACAGGGGGAAATATTTAGCTATCTACTGTAAGTTAATAGAGGTGATCTTTGAGCAGAAGTAATATTTTTCCTTTGTGCTTTATTTTCTGAGCTTTTTGTAATGCACATACATTATGCTTGCAATTAGGTAATTTCTCCTTTGTTCGTTTTCCATATTTTCAGAAGTTTTTTGGGCAAGGAACACACATGATTCTTGGATTAGGAAAAAAGAACTATATGATATGCAAACATCATGTACATATACACAAATTTACATGTATTTTAGATGGAAAACCAGGAAAGAATGTTCTTTCTGTATGCTACTAGTGACATTGAAGAGGAAGATGTAGAAATCCGTTTTCAGAACTCCTAAGTGGTTGGCCAGTGTTCTAGGACTTCCCGCCCCAAATTCCAAAGCAGACCTCCACTCACCAGAAAAACTGAGGACTTGTCTCTTCTCAGCTGGGCAACCTCATCTGCAACCAGCAAAACAGGAACTGAGCAGTTATTAGTCCTGGAAATCTGGCCCCAGGGCCCACAGCTGGGAATTTCCCTTTTCAGATGCCAGCTTCAGGCTCCATGTCCAAGGGCGACCCCTGTTGGTGAAATTTAAATAAGTTCATTATTTGCAATCAGGATTGCAGTGCCTGAGATTTTACTGTTTCTTGGGGTCTGCTGGAAGCTTTGAAGCCAACTCGCTCTTTCCCTCAGCTGCATTTTACTTCCCAGCAATCCGTGCTCTCCCTTACCGCAGGTTTGCCTGCTGTTTGCCCGGGAAAACCATGTCTGGGGCTTGGAGGATGAAGCCACAGGGGTGGCCAGCTTTTAAATGTCATGCAGGCAGGCTCCTATAGGAGAAAGGGTCTGGCTTTGCTGGCCAGAGGGTAGAGTGTGGTGACTCTTGCTCTAACTGACAGACTGGGATCCTGCCAGCTGAATGAAAATACCAGACGTGGGCAGCTTGTGGGAGCAGTGAGCAGGCAGGCCATTCTACGACCAGGACATGGTTGAGGGGTCTGCATCCCACCTGAGGAAGCAAGCATGGAAGAAGGGCAGACTTTCTGGGTGGGGAGGGGTCCATACCATTTAAGAACATTTCCCCACTATATGGAGATTCTCTGCTGGGGAATTCTGACAAGAACCAGAAAACCAACACAGCCTTCCTTGACCAGCTCCTGTGTTTGCATTTATAAGAGCAAGACCTTGGATTGAGGGAAGTATGGGTAGTAATTATGCCAGAGTCATGTTGCCAACATTCATCCCAAAAAAGAACTATCCGCATACCCCGTCCATCACCGAATGCTGAGTGGAAGTGCTGAATGGAGCTCTGGCTGAAGAATCTGGATTTAGACATGCACTGTCTGTTTGTAATTCATCAGCATTGCTCTTTCCCCCTGGGCATTGGTCTGTGATAAAGAAAGCTGGTCGCCAAGGAATGTGTTTGGCATTTCTGTGCTTTGAGAAAACGTGACTAAGCTCTTTTCAGAGCCCATCACCAGACAAGAGTCCTCCTTTACTGTCTCATCTCCCAGATGCCTGTGGTACAGGTTCTCATCAGAGACCTCTCGCCCTGCAAGCCTCAAATCTACTCTCTCCTGATGGGAGAGGAGAAATCCCCACATATTGCTTTCATTGCTCTAAGTAAGGCTGATTCAAGGCTGACCTTTCCCCATTTGGACCCAATGCTCAGCATCCTCCAAATGTTTGTGGGTGCCTGTGTCTGGAGACTCCTAGTAAGAAAGAAAAGAAACCAGGAATTGTGGTTTGAGGGGAGGGTACTTAGGTGGGTTCCATCTAAATTTGCTGGAAAGGAAAGGCTGGGAGAGAAAACTGCCATAGCATCCAGCTTGTTACCTCCCAAGAAGTTCAGAAAGGCTGAGAATCCTGATAAGGGATCGAGTGATGGTCAAGATCAACTTTCTGGGAAAGGCATGGAGAGGGAATGCATTGCTTTTCTAGGTTAGCCAGGTGATTAGGTCTTCTGTCCCAGCGCAGAAGTCATGGACACAGACTCCAGCAGCTTCTGCCTGACTGTAGCCCCAAAGACCAGATGTAGATTCACAAAGTGGTGTGTGTTGCCTGGAATGAGGATGGTTCCTGCAGAGTTGGTTCTCACACAGCACTGGCTGGGAGGGAGAAAGGAATGTATATTCTAGGACTCCAGTTAACCAGGTGAGGGGCTGAGTTGTAAGCTCCAGAAGAGTGGAAGGGCTGGAGATGGCATCAAAGCCCTCATTTTACAAACAACAAACAGAGACCCAGAGAGGGGGAGCAGATGGCCCTGGGCCACACAGCAAGTTAGTGGGCGAGTTGAGAGGAGACTCCCAGTGCCCCAACGACCTGTTACGGGCTCCTTCCACTAGTGCTGTTTCCCCAGGGAATATCTAGAGCAGTCCTGCCCTCTTGCTCCGACCCTTGAGGACCTCGGTTTGTCTAGTAAGAGATGTACAGAGCCCTCATATGGTAAGGATTCTAACTTACTGAGGACCTGCTACGTGCTAGGTACCCATACTATTGAGACCGCACTTAAATCCTACCATTTGGAAAGGAGGCGTCAGAGAACCCATTTTCCTAACGAGGAAACTCATGCCCAGAGAGGTGAAGATAGTTGTCCGCAGTCACATAGCTGACCTGTCTGACTCCGGTTCCTAACGAAAGTCTCTCTGACCCAACGTCCACGCTTCTTCTCAGAGGGACTGCCAGGACCCTATGGCAGGATCTCTTTCTGAGGCCACTCACTTTGGATAAGTTAAAAAAGATCCTGCGACTTAATAGCCCTGACCCCCATCTCGCGCGACTCCGTGGCAGACGCGGGACTTTCTTCTCACCGCGATAGCGTCTCCTTGCACTCGGGCCAGTGGGATTTGCGCCCGCGCACGCGCGACCCTAAGCCCCCGGAGCCCCGAGAACAGGCTCTCGGCGGCCCGCCGCGGCCGCTCCACGGAGTCCTGGGCTCCAGCGCCCTCACCTGGCTGCTGCGGCCGGACTCCGCGCGCCCGGCTTCGGCGGGCTCAGGTCTGCGTC